ACTCTTATCCATGTACACTGCTTTTTTCTCATAAATTAGAAAAATTTCGCGCAAATGCATGAAAATACTCAACGTATTCTACTCAAATGTATTCCAAAATACTAAAAACATATAACTCACAAAATCACGATCATTAAATTAAAATATAATTAAATTAAAAAACACTACTTAAAATATAAATAAGCACATACATTAAATTAATAAAAATTAGATTACAATTCTAATTACTTTAAACTAAATCATTGCTAATAACGATTTTCCATAATACCATATTAATTTATTTACTCCTTACATTTAGAACAATGCATAAAAATATATCCTCAAATGATTAAAAATACTAACTTACCTAATCTTCTTCAGAATCTTCATTACGTGGCACGCACACTTCCCTACAGAAAGAGTTCCAATCAGCTGCAGTACTACTGCTAATTTCTAAATCCGAAATCAGTAGTCAACTGGCAGTCTATGCACCCACTAATAAGAAATTAATAAAATTTCACCCATAACTCAAACGACTTTCAGCAAACCACGTACCCTTCCTTACACTTACGTTTCACAAAATGTCCATTTTCACCAGATTTCTTGTACCAGCCATTCAAACTTATGTGTAATATCCTTCCTTTCACACAATCTCAACTTATCAGATAAAACGCATTAAAAATTTAGAATTCACTTTACATAGTGCCATGCAATCCGAAAATTAATCAACACTATTTCACACAACACACAATGAAGCTTAATACAAAATAATATATTACTATAGATATTTTTCCAAATTTTACCCCCTTTTCCGATTAAAGAACTGTAATTCGTCCATTAATGTCACATGACATATCTCATGATCTCTCATTTCCCTCACACAAAATAATGCGTAATCGGAACTGCGTACTTCTCACATTATTACCAAAGTCCTAGGTAGTAACCTTTATTGCCTCCAAAATGTCGCCAAACTACCTGTTACCATATTCCAAAGATCAGCCATTGTTTCTTCAACCAGGTGTTTGAAGATGCTAATAAGGTGACACTTACAGGGAAACAGCACTGCAAATTGATAAAGCTTTTTTATCTGAATGGGGAATATGCTGCCAAAGAATTTGAGAAGTTTATTGGTGAAATCATAAGATGAGGCCCATGGTCCGTAAAAACTGTACATGATTTTGTAAAAAAAAAAAAATTGTAGAAATTTATATGCATGGGGTAGACCCAGATCTGGAACACCATGTGTTGCTGTTGAAATAATTACAGAATTGTATAATACAATTACTGCAAGCTTATTACATGCTGCAAGAAGTGTTGCCTGCAGTTTGGATGCACCAAAAAATCACAGTCTCAAACTTTTGTGTTCAATTCTCCGAATGTTGCCTTATTAATTCCAGCATGGCGACTTAGCGAATTTTTTCCTCATCAGGTATGATGAAAATAGCAGATAGGCATTGTGGATATTATGGATGGATAAGGTGCATTTCTTCTAAACTTGGAATGTAAACTTCAAAAACTGTATTTACTGGGTTGACGAGGGGCCGTCAGTACCTCTAGACGAAGCTAATTAGTATATAGCAATGTTGCAGAATTATGTAACTCTAGAACTGCAGTAGCAAAATGTCATTAATGATATTTATAGATGCAAGACGGTGTTTCTTTAAACATTGCCACATGGGTTATGAGAGTCATTTCCCAAAATTTTGCAGTTTTGTGGTCACAGTGATGATTCCCCTGATCTCAGTCCAATGGATTTCTGTTTCTGGAGTGATCTGAAATTGAAGATGTTTGCATCACATCCACGAGATTTGTCAGAATTGAAAGGTGCCATAATACATGGAGTTATACAGATTCCTCCTGTGATGTTTACGTTTTTCATTGTTGTCAACAGTGTCTTGCATGCAGTGCATTGTTGTCTGCGAAGGTGGGCACATTGATAACTTAGAATTCCAAGAGAACTTTTCCCTCCCTCTCTCCTCTCTTGTGTTGCCATTATTCCTTTACAGTGCTGTTTGAAAATGTTTTACACTGGCAGTTTTTTTCATCATGTGTTATATTCCTATTATGCAGTGCAGTAGGTGCAATTGAACACAGCTTACAGTAGAAATTTACGACTGACTGATGTCACACTTATTTGGAAAAAATGAATTGCTTAATCTCACAACTGGTGAAGGATTAAGAAACTACATGTAAAGAAATAACGGTACACATGGGTCATATACAGGGTGGGATACATGTTGTTGCCATATATGGCGTTATTTTGTATTGGATGGTTTAGTTGAGAGTTTGGAGCAATTTTGTTTGTATGGCAACCTTTTTTATGTGGAAAGTTTTGTGAGGAATGTCGTATTTCATCGTGGCGATTATTTGGTTACTGTTGAATAATGGCATATAGTTCCATGAAGGAAGTTGTGGAGATATATCTGCCACGTGTTTTAGAGTGTATTCTAGCTAGATTTAGTTCGAGAAAATATGTTGTTGTAGTTATTAATAAAGCATTTGTTCATGGTTGTCTTCATGCTGGTAGAAAGAAGTGTATTTATGCAGGTTTTATGGGATACAGGATATTTGAAGTCAAATTTGACATATGAGAAGTGCTTGTCTGATATGAAGACTCGGAAGAAAAATTGTATTTCTGATGGATTTGTGTGGATATGCACAAAAATTGTTGAGGGTAAAGAATGCGGTTCTCAATAAAATTTGAGGTTTGGGTTCTTGATTTCCTTCTATTGTAATGTTTGAAATTTTGAATAATAGGAAGGCATCTGACATAGCTCAGTTGTGGCATTTTGGTTCACATGCTTTGTGTGATTGCTGTAATTTTATTAATGAAGTATACTGGATTATATATGTGATATGTCTGTCTTTTCAAGTTTTTTGTTTGAATTTAATATTTGCTTTTTTAGGAACTATTTTGGATGGTAAGTGAATTTAATTTTTTATTGTTTTAATTTTGTAGAGATTTATTTTAATTGTTGCATTGCTTTAATTTTGTGTTATTTATTTATTTATTTTTTAATTTTTGATTTTATTTGTGTTGAAATTGTTTAAAATTTATTGTTGTTATTTTAGTTTAAATTTGTTGTCAAAATTTTTGGTGAGAAACTTTATGCTTTTAATTATCTAAATATTTTCTTTTTATTTTGGACTTTTAACATAAATCATGTGCAAAAAACACATTTTTTCAGACATATTGTACTTTAATTTTGAAATGTAAAAAAAAAAAAAGAAAAAGAAAAAGAAAAAAAAAAATTACATAATTAAAATCATGGAGTTTCTCATCAAAAATGCTTGGCGAGAAAGTTTTCGCCAACCCGGTCCATAAATGACAGTAGTTCCAAAATAACAATGAAATTATTGGTTTTGTTTGATTTTAAGGTGAAGTGGTACAAGGGAGATGCATTACTTTTCAGGTTCTAAAATTTTTAAGGAATACTGGAGTAAATTTAGGGCTTTGGTTATAATAAATGATAACCCAGATATATTAGATAAACAAAATCAACATTTATTCCAGCCTTTATATCATACCTATGAAAGAAACATTTATCAATTTTTAATTCAAAAATGAGATATTACACTAAATGAATTAAGTAATGTAAGAAAATAAGTTTTTTAGTTTCAGTGATTGTTGTCAACAGTGATGAATTTAACTAACTATTAAAATTCATAAAAATGTGTCCGAGTCTTTGAATTACAAATTCTTTTGATATTGGGCACAGTTTTAGAAATCTAAATTCTTATATCAGATGCAGCATCAGATTGGTTTCTATATTTGGATTTTTTTGCTACATAATGTGAAAAAGAAAATATGCCTGTAACAAATGTAGGGTTGCAAAGGAAAATAAATTGTAAATAGCTTGTTTTGATAAGTTCAGATATTCTTCTGATACACTTATTCAAAATTCTTTTAACCCACTGAGCAGCATGGGTTTTTGAATCTGTCTGTATTTAAATACCCTTTATTAGGTAAATTTGTATGCTTACTTATTTAAGTCTCTATTTTCATAAACTTACATTTATTAAGATGATATTTATGTTATTACAGAACATAAGAAAGCAGAATATCTTAAATTATAAGCTAATATATACCAAGTGACAAAAAATTTCATCACTGGCTTAAGTCGGTTATGGCGCTCAGAAGGTTAATTCATTCCTTAAATTTTTGTTTTGTGAGTTGTCAGTAGGGGGATCAGTTGTCAAATCAATTTTTTTAAATCAATTGTGCTTGTATCCATCAATTTAGGTGTCTTTTTGAAATTATTTCAATTCCAAAAATTGTCTTTCTGGCACAATGGGAAAAATTGGCTAAATGTTAACTACAAGTCATTCAAATGCTATAATATTTCACTCTAAACTTAACTATCTATGGAACTACTCTTATATGCGCCCTCATGTGGCCAAATTTCTCGCCAAACAGTTTTGGCGAGCTCCACGGTGCCATATTACTGTCTAAATTTTTGTTTACATTTCAAACTTTAAGCCTACAATGTCTCCAAAAACGCGGTTTTCACATATGCAAAAACTATGTTTTGAACACACAATTTAAGCTAAAACTCCGAAACAAAAACAAAAAATTTAGATAGTAAAAACGTAAAGTTTCTAACCAAAAATATTTGACAAGAATCCATGTACACAGCGATATGTTTTAACTTAAAAAAACTGGCTGTGATTTATTAAAAAAAAAATTGCACAGCTAACTTTTAAAAAAGGATCTAACAGTGTTAATATAGTATGAATTATCTGTATTAAATTACGTAATGTTCTGGATACAAACATTTTCTAAATACTAGTACATTATCTGCTATTACTACTGTTAACCTACACATTTTTTTCCTCTTATTTTCTATGCTGAACTTTGTTTCATGTTGGTTCTTTGTGATAGTAATGTTTCCATCATTCCATAATAAAGAAACTTAACTATTTGGGCAAACATGGATAGCTGAAAATTGACTGTAGTAATCTTTTTTAAACATTTTATGTTCTCTACCTTTTAAATATGAATTTTATTTTTTGTTTTTTAGATTATTAAAAATGTTTCGCTGGAAGAAAGACAAAGATAAAGAAAAGGAAAAGGAAGACAAGAAGAAAAAGGAAAAGAAAGATAGGAAAGACCGTAAATCTACCATTGAAAAAGAGAGTTTAACTCAAGATGAATTAAAACGCTTAGATGAAGTTAGGAGAAGTTTCACTAGCTCTAAATCTTCAAGTTCAAAAGACAGAGATGAGGCATCCGATAAACAGAGTAATGGCAGTGATTACAGTCTGAGTTCCCATCATGATTCAAGTCCATCTGGAAGTAGCATTACTAATGTTGACCCAAATAAATCAGGGAGTCCATCTAGGAAGCCACCTCCAATTCCAAAGAAGCCAACTTTACTTGTAAAGCCCAATCAGGCAAGTGGTAATATCGAAACTACACCATCGCCTCAAGGTAGTACATTTTCTATGGCTTCTTTACATCTTGGAACTGCTAGTTTAACAAATGAAATGATGGCTTTCATGGACCAAATGAATCATCCTTGTGTAGATGGTCCTGGAACTGCTACTCCGATAATAAATCTCGCTAAGCCTAGTGTACCATCAGCTCCACCTTCACAAGTGCCTCCTGGAGAACAAGGAGGCTATGGTATTCGATGGAAATCGTATTCATCTAATCTCAGACTACCTCCTGTAACTTGTTTGTCTCCTCCTCGTGTGCGAACTTTGACTATTAAACGACAACCAACAGGGGATTTTGGATTTGCTCTTCGTCGAGCAGCAATTCAAGAGCGTCATTGTGGAGAAGCTGAATCACGACATACTGTTGTATTTGCTGAACCAAGTAGTCTTGGTAAAGCAAATGACACTGGCCTTTGGCCGGGTGATAGACTTTTAGAAGTAAATACTGTGTCCGTGGAAAATAAGCCCCGAGAAGAAATTATAGAGCTTATTCGATCATCTGGGGATAGTGTAACTTTAAAAGTGCAGACTGTTTCTGAACTGAGAGAATTAACAAAACGATATTGTTATGACAGTGAGCAAACTGATGCATCAGATGGAGATGCAAAGGTTGGTACCTTGTCTCCAGGCAGTAATCACAAATTTAGAGGAGTTGTAAGTATTTTTATAACTTGGACTGTAAATGTTTAGTCTTTAATTACATTTATTTTGCCTTATGTTTTTTAGAAATAATAAAAAATTATTTATGTGTATTCACTTGCAACATTCTGTAATTAGTATTAATTTTGTTCAACTAGTGCATTTATTTTTATTTGCATGCCTCTTTTTATGGTATGGTTAAAAATGCTTTGTTAGGTTTACATAAAAATTATTGTACTTACATACTAGCATTAGGTTTACATAAAAACTGTTATACTTACATACTATGACAACTACCTAGATATCTCGTCAAAACTGGTGACCCTTGTAGGTTATACAGGTTAACCTGTAGTTATACAGGTTATACGGGTTATATAGGTTGTAGAGGATGCTAAAATAAAGAGTATTATCGCACACTTTGCTATTACCACACCTTTTTTTCGCTATATTTACGTGGATTATTACATTTAGCTTAAACACGTGAAACTATTTGTGATTATTTTTTTTCTGATGGATATCAATATTTTCCAACTTCTTTCAAATGAATAAGAAGTGATAGAATTTTTCAGAGAGGCTGGAATTTTACGATTAAAAGAATGCGTTTGTAAAATTTGCCTTAATATGAAGTTATTGGCAAATATTGCCAAGGTAGTTGTCATAGTACATAAGTAACAATTATGAAGTAAAAAAAAAAAAAAAAAAAAAAAAGGTTAAAAAAAAAAAGTTTAGGATCATAATGAATAACTCCCCCCCACCTGAATAAATAAAAAAAGCTAAAAAAAAAAAAAAAAAAAAAAAAAAAACTTAATGTTTTATGTAATTTGCTTCTGTATTACCTTTAAAAATATTTTTATATAAAATACATTTTCTATGTGAAGCTTGCTGACATTATCTCTGAAATTTTTTAATATTGCTTATTGAAATGCTTTTGATGTTTTCCTGCTTTGTAACATTTTAACAATAATATATAGTGTTAATGAACTCAGTATTACTCAAAATCTAAAAAAAAAATTGCATGCCTGTTTCCCTATCAAATGAAAATTTTTCACTCTTCTCTGAATTGGAATAGATATGGTTGTAATGAAAGTTTTCTGCAAAAAAACGTTCTGTATAAAGTTAGGAAAAAAGCATGAAAAGCAGTGCCTTTAGTGCCGGTAGTAATCATCATCCAAATCTATGATTTTTTGCCAACGTTTTGGTAGCTTTTCAAAGCCTTCGCCCCAAAAACTTGGTTGCCTCAATTCCAAAAACAGATCAACCTCATTTCGTACATCCTGTGCAGAAATGAAGATAGCGCCAGCAAAATGTAGCTGCAGGTGTGAAAAAATGTAGTAGTCCAAAGGAGTGATGTCAGGACTATATTGTTGGTTGTGGCAAAAGATCCCATTCGAGTACAATACAGAGTTCAGTGGTGAATGCTGACACGTGTGGTCTTGCATTATCTTGATTTGAAAATTACCTTTTTGTTCCAGAACTCAGTTCATCATTTTTCCATGATAGCAGCATTAACACGGACTGGCATCTTGCTGTACAACTTACTGTCAAAGGTTTTACCTTTTTCCAGATACTCTTTATGGATAATACCATGGCAGTCGCACCAGATACAAAGCATGACTTTTTTTATTAGTCAAATTGTAATTTATGAATGCTGCCGATGGGGTGATTTGATGCAGACCAACCCCCTTTTCAGCTAGTGTGTTTGAAGTAAATCCACTTTTCATTACAAATGACGATCCAATCCATAGCTTAGTGCTTGCATTATATTCGAGCAGATTAGTGCAGGCCCGAACACATTAGTCCTTATCTGCTTGAGTCAGCTCATGTGGTACCCAGCAGTTTAACTTGTATGTCAAGTTTATGTGATGCATAGTGTGGCTAATGGACATGGTACTAATGTTTAACTCCATAGCAAGCTCTCGAGTGGTTGCATACTGATCTTCCACAAGTTCTCACAGTTGGGTCTCATCAACCGGCTGGTCAGAGAACTGTGCTTCTTGGATGTCGTAGTAACACGATTTGGTGACATTCTGTAGCTGACTTTTTGCAACGGAACTGGAAGGAAGTGTTGGTTCTAATTTGGTACTGGGATAGTTCTATTTCAGGCACTTTTTACTTAATGATAACGATGTTTTTTTTTACAAATTTCACAACACAGTATTCTAAAGCAGTCTCTTTCTTTCAAATGTCCAAAAGTGTTTGCTAAAATATGATTAAACATGCCAACAGGAACTGTTTGCGCAGACACTATTTGTGGTGGTAGGAAATATTTGTTAAATCCCTTAATTATAGCTAGTACATTATAATTATTGTTATTCTTTTTTTATTATTATTTTGACTTTGTAGATGATATAATTAAACTCTTGTATCTAAATGCTCGTGCAATACATGTTTTTGTGGGAAAAAAAAAATGTTTTCACTTGTAACTTTTATCTTTAATACTTAGCTTAACATCAAAGCATTTTATCATGTAGTAATAAAATTCAATCCATAATTAGGATTGCAGTTTGATTTTGTTATGATTAACATATTTTTCCTGTTATAGGCCAAGTCAGAAGAAGAAATGGAAGTTGAGAAGATATGGTTATCTAAAGAGATGGTTTGGGTAGTACATAAGGGTGGATTTTCTGCTGCTCATCTAGTCAGTGGCCAAGTTCCACAAGAAGGAAAACTGTTTGTCAAAATGGAATTTTCCCAAGATGTATTGGAAGTAAATGAAGAAGATGTTGAAAAAGTAAATATAAGGCATTATTTAAAAATTTATTCTTGAAAATGCTGAGTGTGTGTAAACGTTCTTGTGGTTTTCAATGACGAATTCCATTATATTTATGGCTATGCATCTATTAATATATCCTGTTTTACTGTCTATGGCTTGGTACCATTTGTGGATAATTGCTTCATCCTCCTCCTGAATAATTCCTCTTTTCTGCTAATAAAAATAAATTTTTTAGTCCACCAGTAAGATCCTCTGTATTATTTTACTGCTATCTCTGTAGAATGTTATATAATGGCTGAAAGAGTTGGTTATCTGCTGGAATAATTCCAAAGAATTTAAGAGTGCTATACAAGATATCATTCAGACTCCTGTAACTTCCTCTGAATCCTCTAAAACTCGATACTGGAACAGATGTATCATTTCCCACTGTGATAGAATAATTCTTTCAGATAGTTCACCAGTGACTTGTGCTTTTCTTTAGAGTACTGGGAAGTTGATACAGCTAATGGCAATACACCTTCTTATTTAAGATACAGTTTGATAGTAGAAGTTCTCAACAGATTATTTCTCTGAAATCTCACCAGACACTTAGCAGAATATTTTGTGAATGTTATAAATAACATGCAGTGCCGATAGAGAAGTTGTTTGGTAGATAGGATGCTGGGCAGTTTTATATTGCGCTGCTGCAATTTAATAAACTTAGGAAACAAGTTTTGAAAATCAAAATGACTTGTAGACAAAATGTCTTGATAAAAATGTGAAAAGTTTTGCACACAATGTAAAATTAGTTTTAAAATAAGCAGGGCAAAGTGAATGAAATGTTATAAATGCTGTTAAAGTTTACAGTTAAGATTTTATGACTTATATTATAAAATGACTTTAATAAAATAGGAAAATTTTTGCACACAATATAAAATTTGTTTTAAAATAAGCAAGGCAAAGTGAAAGAAATGTTATAAATGCTGTTAAAGTTTACTGTTAAGATTTTATCACCTGAAAAGGTATGCAGGAATTAATTCATGTATTACTGATGTTGGATTAAAACATTTAAATTTGGATCTATGGATACATTTTTAAAGGAGTTCTTTTGTCTTTTGATGTAATGTCAATTAAATTTGTTCTTGTATGAGTAAATTTAAATTTTTTGTTATTTTTCTCTAAAATGAGCAGTTCAGTCTTAAAATCTTTATTCCAATTATGTATTCTTGGAGGTTGTAAATGTTCCTTACCATTGTGATTTGCTGTACATTAGCCAAGCCAAAATAAACATGTTTTAAAATTTTGCATCAAAGAACATGAATCATATGTTTGGAAATGGGATACCGATAAATTGATTATTGTGACATGTTATTGGTTTATAAATCATGTCCCATTTATCTTCTGTCAAAATCATTCAAGAGTCTACTTGGTGATTTAATTTCCTTAATATTGTCTATATCTAAGAAATATGATTAAAACATAAAGCTCTTCTGTCCTCCATTGTACAAACAGATTAGTTCTTTTTTTATTTTTCATAGCTGCCAGCTGTAAGGGATAAAAAAATTACAAAAGGAAATTAATCAAAGAACATGAAACTTAAAATAGCTGATATATATTTTGAATCAGAATCACATAAATAATTCTAACAACCTGTACTTTTTTTAAATGACATTGCCATACAATGCAAATACCACTAGGAAACTTATGATTTTCACATGAAATCGTCCTGCTTTTTTCTGTTTCAAAGTTGCTAACTAAGGTTTTCATTTTTCATCCAAAAATGGCATATTGAGTTTTGATTTTATCTCTTATTTTTCTGTTAATCCTCACCTCTTTGACTGTATACCGGATGTTTTCCATCCCAAAATGTTTTTGTTTTATTTTTCAATTTTACTTCCATTTTTACTAAATTTCCTTCTTCCCCACCCAATTTCTGTTTGTTTCAACTCTGGAATGGGAGGTACCTCTTTTGCATTTATCGCATCTCATTTTGCACTCCCCAGTAGGCATTCAATAGATTAGGTATAATAGCTAGTCACCAGATCACCGAAATTATAAAAATGCTTTACTTTTCCATTTTCTGTTTCTTTTCATAATAGTGAACAAAATTATAACTTGTGAGGAGTTCTGAAAGATATGTTAATTTCATTCTATTTTTTGGTGACTGTCTTTCATTATTTGCACCAGTAAAAGTTGTTTAAGGCTGTTCAACTTTCATTAATTCCACACTTCTTCATTCCCAGGGCTGTGGAGTCGGAGTCGGACAGATTTTGGGGTAAAAGGAGTCGGAGCTGGAGTCGTTAAAAACAGGTCAACTCCGACTCCAGTTTTTGTTGGACAGTTTGAATTTGAAATGAAATTAAAATGAATAGAAAATATTAATGACAAGCTGAGTTATTAATTTTATTTACAGACTGTATACATGAATAAATAGTGATTTTCTATTTTATTGACATATTAATAAATAAATATAAGGATGGATGTGATATTTGCCATTAGCAATTAAATGGATTCATTTAGTTACAAAATCTCACTGGTAAATTTAGGTAAGCAGCAATAGCAGCAAGAATTCTGAAAATTGATGCCATTCCTAGGAAGCGAGCAGGAAAAGGAACAATTATTGATCAAGCAACATGATAAGGAAGTTCATATTTGATGATAAAGAGTTTTTAGAATTAAGAACTTTTTTAGAAGAAGTAGATAATCCTAATGTTTCACTAACAGAGAGACTGCAAAGTGATCTTGCAAAATTGGAAATTCTTCTTTCTACATCGTATATAGCCACAAAAAAGTTGCAATCTGAAGAATTGACAGGAGGCGAGAATGAAAGAATGGGATGTTTGTTCTTTCTGAAATGGAGGGTTTATTGCAGAAGGAATCATTTCTTCAATAAAGAAAAGGGAAACTAGTTTGCTAGATGAGATCTTGCTAGGTTCAATATATGTAGATCCTAAACACCGAATTTTCTTGGATGATGAACAAATTAAAAAGGCAAAGAAAGTCATCTATGAACTTTCATTAAGAATTAAATTATTTTCAGAACAATTGGAGAATTTGAATCAGGACAATCAAACTGCAGACATTGCAATTGAGTCTCTATCATCCTTTTCTGATGATGAATTAGATTTTAAGAAATGTTTTTGGATAATAATGAGAAAGCTAAGGCAAAGCAAATGAAAATAAAGAACCAAGAGCCTTTAGATATAAAAATGAAAAAATACAAACAAGGATTTCTACATGGCTTTTGAAGAAATAGAGAAATATGATTGCGCTTGCAAGACACCTCTTTTAGAACTGATTAAAAGCTATCCTGAAAAGTTAAAAGAAGTAGCCCTAACACTAACAGCTCTTCCTCCTACTCAAGTTAGTGTAGAAAGACACTTCTCAGCTCTGAAGTTTATCAAATCGAATCTATGGGCCTCCAACAACAACGAAGATATTGCCGAAGCTATACTGTTTCTTAGAAATAACTAATGCCAGTTTTTCTATTTCATAATAAATGCTAATTAATGTAAATAATTGGCTGTGCCATACAGGGGGGAAAAATTGCTATGCCACCATTTTTTTTTTTTTTTCCCCTGTAGCATCTATTACCTCTTTTATATTAAAAAAATAAACTGTAACCCATGCATATATGTTTACATAATATATACATGAAGGAGTCAGAGTTGTTAAAATTCCAGGATTCAGAGTCGGTCATTTTCCTTACTGACTCCATAGCCCTGTTTATTGCCCCCTTTAAATTTTGTAGCATCTATTACTTCTTTTATATTAAAAATATAAGCTGTAACCCATGCATATATGTTTACATATATGTATATATGAGGGAGTCGGAGTTGTTAAAATTGCAGGAGTCAGAGTCGGTCATTTTCCTTACCGACTCTACAGCCCTGTTCATTTCCACCTTTAAATTCTAGTATTATTTAATTTTTCTTTTTGAAAAAATTACTTAGTCATTTATTTTTTAAATATCTTCTAAAATGATTACCTAGATTGGCATATTATTTCTGTTCTACAATTTTTCACAAGTAATAAAAATATCCTGTAAAACTGCCTTAAACTTGTATCTGTTTGTGCATTTAAAGTTATAATAATGTGCAGTTAAGCATTTAAAAAAAAAAAAAAAAAGGAACCTTTTCGAATTTTTTAGTGGGCAAAAACAAAAATCTTTAGATTTCAGTAATCAAAAAGGTGCCAGTAAATGTATTTGTTAAATATGAAATAAATATAAAATGGCACAATGTCAATATTCTTAAACCAGGGAATACCTATACCTCGCTTTTTTTTTTTTTTTTTTTTTTTTTTTTTTTATGCTAAGCTCACACACCAGTCATCTAGCCTCACTCATTTGGTTATTCTTCCCATTCTAATCCCATTATTATATCTCTAATGATAATCTTTCAATCTTTCAGAGGATCATATGAAAGTATTAAAATATTACTTCAACTTTTCAAAGATATCTAAACCTTCAGCTTCTCAGATCATTGTTCTTGTGGAAAAAGTTTTTAAATTCTCTAAAATTTCAGAAATGCAGGAAAATACAATCCGCTACATAATTACTTATAATATGAATTTTAATAACAAATTGTTTATTTCAAATCTTATTCAAAAGGAAAAGACCTTACATAAAATTCATTCTCTAACATTATTATTCCCAAAGCTGATAAGAAGGGGCAGATCATTTAAAAAATTACTTATTCTACCTGTTGCTAATTATGCTAGGGTTTATGCTCTACAAAATCAGAATTCCGTTCCGATCTGTTGTTTCTAACTTAAGCATCATATCTTTGGCTCAATATTTAGTTTCTCCTTTACATAGTTTCTCCTTTACTTTCTAACTGTATTCATGCAGTAAACAATTCTTTTGATATTATTGATAAACATAACGATATTTCTCCCTTGCACTTAATTATGGTTTCTTTTGATATTCACTGTTTACTAATGTTCCAGTCGAATAAGCACTGAAATGTTTTGAAGCTAGACTTCAAGAATTCCATTTCATGCATGCTGGAATTGAAGAGTTAATTTGTCTTACTAGTTAAGTCAAACTCACTTTTTACAAAATAAATATATTTCCCAATTTCAATATTTACATGCACTATTTTGAACTCAAATTGTTTGAGAAACTAACTTTTTATGTCTGGATTTATTAAATGCATGATTTTTTCGAGCTTTATGATGATAATGAAGATTTATCCCAGACATTGTTTGTTATAAATTTGATTGATTTAGCCATGCGGTTCTCTTTTAAAACAGTCTGGCAATACCCTTTTCTTCCTTGGTATTCGTATAATCTGCAACGAATCTGATTTCAACACTAGTTATTACCATAAACCTTTTTTTGTTTGTTTGCTTACCCATGCTAAATCATGTCATTGGCCTTGGCAAAAAATGCTTCTTTCTACTATTATGTACTTTGTGCTCTCAAAGTTTGCTTCTTGGAATCTTTGCTTTCTAATAAACTCAATTATTTAAAATCAGTTGTCGTTGACAGAAGATTTTTGTCTCTGGTCATTGATGAAGGCCTTTAAAAAACTTTCATCGTGCCATCAAAGAGCGCATGTTAGAAATAATACTAATAATCTTGTTTTCCATTTCATACATCTATCAGTTATAATATTGTACAGATTCTCCAGAAGTCCAGTTTTAAACTCATTTTCTCACATGTCAATAAAATCCATTGTTTAATTCTTAAAGATTCCGTATGTGGCTGTAATTGAGGAATTTATAGCATATCTTGTCAATGTGGTTAGAGATATATAGGCCAAATTAAAAGAGAGCTAAAATTTCTCATCAAAGAACACAAATCTTATGTTTGAAAAAAAAAATAAATGAACAAATCTTCAATAGCTAATCATAATTGGATATTTAATCACAGTTTTGACTTTGGGTCTGTAAAAATGATCCATAAAGCTTCTTTATTTCGTGAACTGGATTTCCTGGAAGCTTTTCACATTCACAAAGATTTATCTTATTTAGTTTATGACTTTTTCCAATCCAGTCACTTTCTAAAATTTTAAAATGCTAATAACTTTACTTTTCTCTGTTTTGTGTACAGAAGGTGATGCCTTCTGGTGCACTTTCCTCTTTTGTTTTTGGTATAAATACGACTGGGGCTTCTTCCTTCTTTTAATTTCTTTGATTCTGATGATGAGGAACCTGTACCTAATCCCCATTGAAATCAATAGACTCTTAATTAAAATGCCAAATGCAAAGTTGTTTCTTTGCCTAATTTTATGTTTTACTTTGACGTGTTTCTCTTCTTTCTTCAAATCAGTTCTGTCATAAAATTTATATTTTATTTCAATAAACATAAATAAAATTGATTATTTTACTTAATACATTGTAACTTTCAGCATATATAACATTTGAAAAAATAATTTTGTTTCATTCTTTTAGCGATCATAAATTATAGTTTTTCATTACTAACATATTTTGGTACTTATGTATTAATGCAACCAGGCCAAAATTCGCATAAATCGCCAAATTTGGCAATCTTACATGTTTAGACGAAAGTTTATTTGTAAAAAGAAAAAATAACACTGGGCGTGTACTACCACAGCAATGGGTTTTTGGCGGAATTTGCCGAGAAAAGAAAGAGACTTTTTTGGTTACTGTACCTAACAGAAGCGCCGTTACCCTCATGGAAAAAATTTGCGAAAATATCAAGGAAGGAAGCATCATTTATTCGGATTGCTGAAAGGATACAATACAAGTGAGTTCAAAAATGCTGGATTTCTGCATGGAACTGTTAATCACAAATATAACTTTGTGGATCCCAACACGTGCGTTCACACACACACACATGTAGAGCGCATGTGGGGCTCAGCCAAATGGCGCAACAAAAAACAGAGAGGAAACAGCCCATCATCATCTTGACTCATACCTTATCGAATTTATATGGCGCCAAGCTCAAGCTGTTAATGGCGAAGACGGTTTTTTCAATCAGTGCTAAAAAGCAATAGCCAAAAGATTTCCGCCGAAAAAATAATTCTGCAACTTATTCAAATTCGAAACTGGAAGGGTTTAATTGCTATTTAATATTTTAAAACAAAATAATATAAAAAACTGTATTAAAATTATCTATAATTAATAAATGTACATTTTCTTTCTATTCATACTTTTTTACTCAAACTTACAAATCGCGCCAACCTGGTTGCGATAATACGTAAGTACCCATATTTTTAGTGTTGGTTAAATTTAATTTAACTACATTTTATACCTGACATTAATTATTTTGCATGAAGATATTGAACAATAAATAATAACTGTCTGTTAAAATACCATATAGTTTCATTATTTCTTCAGGTATGCTTAAGGAGAAAATTAGCATGAAATAGTTAAAATAAGATATAACTAAAATTTAATTTTTGCTAAAAATAGTAAGTAATGAGAAACTATTATTTAAGATTCTTAAATTAAGTTGATTTCTTAAAAAAAAAAAAAAAAAAAAAAAAAATTTAAGAAACAATATTTATATAATTGTGTAATGTGTATTAATTATATAATGTGTATTAAATTGTGACATTCATTAGATAAGATGATAAATACCATGAGCAGCTGGTTATGAAAAATGTAATATGAAAATGTTTGAGTGTTGCATAATTATGATATCTGGTTTAAATGTAGAACAGCAAGTTCAATATTTGATTAGTGTTTATAGCCTTTTAAAGTAATACTTGTTTAAAGAGTATAGCTTTTTAAATTGTTTTTTAAAGACTTTATTGATATAAATAAATATATAAAATTTGCAAGTTTGCCATTTTCATTTTTAGGCTAATCCTCCACGGTTTGACTTTTTGGAAAATGTTGCTCATCTACGGCATGTAAATGAATCCAGTATTTTGCACACATTACGTCAAAGGTATTGCTCACAATTAATTTACACATATGCTGGAAATAACCTTTTAGTACTGAATCCTGTCCAGCCTCTTGCAGCTTATTCTGAAAAGGTATAATACTTTTTAAAATTGCTTTTGATATTCAGTATAATTATATGATTAAATGTATTATATACTATATATAATACTATATAATATATAGCTTAATTATATTTTCCAGTATATTATGTAAATATTAAAGCTAATAAACTTCACAAAACGAAATGAGAATTTTTTAATACTTAAATCTTAAATTGTAAAATTTATTTGTAGAAAATAAGTTTCTATATTGCAATCTTATTAAAATTGTACTTGAAGGTCATGAAAATGTTTAAAAGCTGTAGAGATGATGACATGCCGCCTCATATATATGCTGTCGCCCAATCAGCCCTGAATAGTCTCCTTAGGACTCGAAAAGACCAATCAGTTGTACTGCAAGGCCGTAGCGGAAGTGGCAAAACTACTAGTTATCGTCATTTATTACAGTATTTGGTTACAGTTGCAGGTTCTTCAAAACAAATTCTGACAGGTAAATCCTACATTCGTATTTATATATAAACAAATGTATTTAACATAATATAAATTTTGTGCTTTACATTTATTTATGTAAACTTAAATCATGAACTATATCTCTGAAGAGACCCACCGAAATAGGGTGATAGGTTCTTGTAATGAAATTTAAAATTTACATCTGCAAAGGGTTTAGGTATATCTATTAACTCCATTGTGTCAAGGACCGCATTTCAATCCTAGTAGGAAGTTTATCATCTGGAAGCTGAAATGCCAAATTAATCGGCCAAAACTGAATCAGATAACCCTCACTTGCAAAACAGCATTGTTTTTCAATTATTAGACTAAAAGTGCATTTATGATCCAAGAATAAGTTGGAAATCAGTTCTTCTATTTAGCATATTGCTGTGAAGGCAATTCCAATTGCCAATATTTTAAATTGTAGAAGTTTTTTAAACCATTTTTATTGAAGAACTGCAACCTTTTTTTCAAATAAATAATTTAAATTTTTAAAATTCATTTTAATAAATAAATACATAAGTTTTCAAATAAATTTCAGGGCAATTGTGTACCATAAAATTAATCACGTGCTGAAATGAAAAAAATATTAAATATATATCCGGTTTATTTTATTTATAGGGGAAAAATTAAACGCTGTAGTCACTTTACTGGAAGCTTTTGGGAATTGCAGAACTGTGATGAATTCAAATGCCACACGCTTTACACAGCTATTTTCTGTTGATTTGGATCATTCAGGACAGATAATATCAGCATCTGTACAGGTAAATATTGGTATTTTTTAATATAGCATATTTAATAAAGGAAAACTTTGGCATAAAAATTGGTTTTGAAACTAGGACTGAGCTTGTATTCTTTTACTCTATATGGTTTTTTTTAGGCGGGGTTAAACTGTACACAAAACCTGGTTTATTTCAATCAGAAATCACAAAATTATACTTTTTGGAAAAAGAAAACACTGTATATTTCTGAATATAAGCCAAGAGTGCATTGTTTCTTCAAAAATGTGCACAAAATTAAAAATCCACATATAAGCCGAGGGGGGAATCTGTAACGTTTAAAGCTAATGTTTAAACATGTCATGAAACATGTCATGTAATGTTTAAACATGTCATGAAAGCAAAAGTATTGCCAAAAGCAGATAAAAGTAGTTGCATATTATATTTAATCGAAAAACTGTAAAGTATTGTCATTGCCAAACATCAACGACAATGGTTCTAACTGTGGTAACCCTACCTAAGCTAGCATATTTTCCCCATCAATTAGTTTGTTGGCTTATGTACATAGCGTATTCGGAAACTAAGTATCGTTTCATTCTAGCGCCTTTGCAGCGCTGTGGTAGGCGTCTCGCGCATGTGCACTAGTCTTTCTTGTTCACTGACTTTCAATTGTCGCCATTTTGGTTGCTTTTTTGTTGTGTGTTTGCTGTGCACATTCAAAATCTTTAAGACAATTAGTTCTCCCGCTGACTGTGAGATTCGTGCCGTGATTAAATTTTTGAATGCAAGGAATGTTAAACCGGCTGAAATTTATCGTCAAGTGACAGAAGTTTACGTTGAATACGCCATAAGTGAAGGAATGGTGAGAAAGTGGGTAAGAATGTTTAATGCAGGTCGAACAAATGTCCACGCCGAGGCTCGGAGTGGTCGGCCTTCTGTTGTCAACGATGATTTGGTAAGGCAAGTTGATGAAGCAATTCGTGAGAACAGACGCTTCACAATGACAACTCTTTCAGAGGCATTTCCACAAATTTCACATACTGTTTTGTTCGAAATTGTGTATGACCGCTTGAATTATCGCAAACTGTGTTCCCGATGGGTTCCAAAAGTGCTCACTGATGTTCACAAAACAAAGCGACTTGGTAGTGCCCTGACATTTCTCACGCGGTACAGTGATGAGGGAGAAAACTTTTTAAACCAAATTGTGACAGGTGATGAAAATTGGGTGTGTCATCTCACACCAGAATCGAAACAACAATCGATGGAGTGGAGACACAGGCATTCTCCAAAAAAACAAAAGTTCAAAATGACAATGTCATCACAAAAAATCATGTGCACTGTCTTCTGGGATAGGAAAGGCGTTTTGCTTACTGAATTTCTTCCCAGAGGTGAAACCATTAATGCAGCACGATATTGTGAGACTTTAACAAAACTAAGGCATGCCATTCAAAACAAACAAAGAGGAATGCTCAGTAAAGGAATTGTGTTGCTCTATGACAATGCTCGGCCCCATACTGCTGGTGTCACTCGATCGTTAATTAGACAGTTTCATTGGGAGCAGTTCGATCACCCGCCGTACAGCCGGACTTGGCGCCGTCTGACTATCACTTGTTCCTGCACATGAAGCGCGAGCTTGGTGGCAAGCGCTTTGGATCTGACGATGACACGAAAAATGCTGTGGAGTTGTGGTTATCGAAACTGGCGGGAAGTTTTGACGATGGTATAAAAAAACTGGTCACACGCTTTGACAAGTGTTTGATCATTGGCGGAAACTATGTTGAAAAATAGTTTAAGACATGTATTTTCATGTAAAAATAAAATTGGATTTGAAAAAATTGTTTTACTATTTTTTTTTTTTCAAAATGGTACTTAGTTTCCGAATACGCCTCGTACAATTGGGGTATCTGTATTTTCTGTACCTTTTTTTTTTTTTCTTTTTTTCTTTTTGTTCTGAAGACTGAGAGGGAAGAGAAATTCTTACATGTTTTCAAACTGCTACTACTGATCACATTTTATAAGAATTCTAATAACAATATAGCCATATTTAATATAACATATTACTCCTAACTAAAAAAAAAAAAAATCTAAAATTAAGTAGTCTTAAATTAGTTGAGATATCAAAATCCAAAAAGGTAGCACATAGTCATTTTCCATTAGCCAGGCTCAAATTTTGCAAACATTAGATTTTTTCATTTTGACAATGATGCAGCAAACCAGTGATGTAAATGATTCTGAAAATAAAAGCTAGCTCAGGTAGTGTTAGCTTAAAATAAAAGCTAGCTAGGAAAATAAAGCTAGGTTTGGAAAATAAAAGCTAGCTCAGGTTACTCATTTTCACAAAATGAATAACATATTCCATTTAAAATTATTTTTTTCATAAACTAAAGAAATGCTACATTTGGTAGTTTGTCGCTTGTGCCCAATTAATGAAAAAGTATAACTACATTTTTTTTGGCAAGATAAGCATATCAATATATAAACAATATATTTTTTAAAGCCATAATTTAGCTTTAAAAAAGTTCCAAAAATGCTCTGCTTATACACAGAAATATATGGTACATCTTACGTTTTGCTTAAATAAATTGACATAAAGCTCATAAAGTATACATTCTGTCAAGGACTTCTAAAGACATTTGGTTTTAGTCTTGATCAGTACACGGAACTAAATGATTCTTCATATTCAGCCATTATTCAATTAGAATTTAGCATAAAATAAAATATTAAATGCTTAATATAAACAGCGTTTAAAACAGTATAGTACTGAGATAAATGTGTGCAAAGGAACTGAAAACAAAATATGCTGGTATGTGTTAATTATAAATAAAACATTTCTTTATCTTAATATAAGACATATGTATTAAATAAGACAAATTTTTCTCTCATTATATATAGGCCTACATGCTTGAAAGGTCACGAGTGAGTCGGAGACCAGAAGGAGAACCAAATTTTCATGTATTTTATTATCTTCTCTCAGGAGCTGATGACATCTTAAGGCAAGTTGCTAGAAAGTTATTTTTTCCCCTTTGTTAAAGCTGATATTAGCACTGAATGTAATATTAAACATCTGCATTTAATTTACTAGAAAGGAAATGTATTTGGAAAGCATGCAAGATCCAAATCTGTTCATGACAGCATTACATAAAGTGAGTAATTTATTTCAAATGTAAGTTTTCATAAAAAATCTTACAATATTTTAACTCGTTTATTTTGGATATTCTTACTTACAATATATAAGAAAAATGCACTGTGTTTCTTTGTATTTTTACTAATAGTTTTGTAGTGAAATATATTTTATATAGCTATGATGTATGAAAATGTTTCTTCGAAATGTTAGGATGAAGATCAGAAACGTGCTTGTCTCTCCTGGGCATACATAAATGCAGCATTTCAAACACTAGGAGTTCAAGAATCTGAATCAAAAGCTATTTGGTGTGTACTGGCTGCCATTTACCATCTTGGAGTTGCAAGTGCTTGCAAAGGTATGCCACCATGTGTTAAATTTATATAAATCTGATGTGCTATTAAGCAGTCTAGCATATTCATCACATATTTAGCAGATTATATGTATAGTGGATGTCTGCTAAGGTGGATAATATATATATATGTATAATAATAATTTATTTCCTAAACAGTATTGATTAATTGATTATATTATCTCCTAAGTTTAATTAAAGTAGAATTATTTTAAAAGTGTGCATCCATACTGGTAAGTTATATTTTGAAAGATGTTTAGAAGTAATTTGAAAGCAAAATGTTAATAATGTTTTAACGGGGACTGGAGTTAAATCATCACGAAGAATAATATTTCAATTGTAAAAGGAAAAATTAAAACATGTAATTATTGTCATTGATCGGAAATTAGTTGACTTTTCAAGGGGAACAAACCAACTCCCGTTCAATGAACAATAATTGATAAAAATACGTTAATATGAAAGTGTTTCGTCTTTACTCGAGTTATAAGTTAAAGCCAAATCGGCAATTCTAGTCAGGCCAAATAATTCCGCGAATAGTTGCTACTCAAAGAACTTATTCTCATGAAGCATTTTAGTCAATTCAATTTGGAGTAAAAATCAATTACTGTAGAGAAATCCTGTAAAACTTGAGTAACCGTCCCCGACACTATCATCTTTATGTATTTGAGTACTATATTATTTGTAGAAATTAAACATTGGAAATTGTCATTATGAAATCGAATTCAAAGTAAAGTTGAAATAAACATGGAAGATTATAAAAAAGATATATATACATATATATATATAAAGTAAGAAATTTAGAACTAATATTTCACAAAGACCAGAAATTGAAATTTGTAATTAATAAATTTCAAATAATCATATAAATGCAACATAGAATTTAAAAATGTTGAAACCGAAACATTACAGACAAGCTAAACCCCACTTTAAAAAATTGATGAAATTTAAAGAAAAATAAATAAAAACGAAATATGAAATATATGTGTATATATGCTACTTCTGAATGACATATTTAGCAGGCTATATATATATATGGTACTTCTAATGTTTCTACTAAGGTGGTACAACCACCTTAATAGACATAGTCAAATTTTCAATATGTGCCAAATTCTGAAAACCAAGCACATAACAATTCTTTAGTTTTAATAAGCAACATTGCCATTTTCATATGCATTCTTTTCTTTTTATGCCAAGAAGACAAACTGTGATAGTTTTGTCTTTGAAAGCGTAAAATTACCATTGTAACCACAAGCATAAAATTATTACCCCAAGCATAAATTTTAAAATATACGCTTGTGGCATTTATGAGCAATGAAAAACAAAAACAACAACAACAACAAAATAATAATAATAATAATAATAATAAAATTTTTGCTGAAATACAGTAATTTGTTGCAAAATCACTTAAAAAGAACAATTCTTCTGCATGAATTCTTAAATCGATCATCATGAAATTTCCACCAAAACTAAACCAACAAAAACTGATTTGTATGTACATTTATTGATTGATTTTTAAGATAAATACCAAATTAAAACATAAAATAATGTATGCATGTAATAAATATTTTTTTTTTTCTCTGAGTTGTAATTATTTTCTTCTGTAAAAAATTACTAGAGTGACCAAGATTATAGCTTTAATACTTAAGTATGAAAAGTGTTTTTGATGGTGTTGGAAAGGTGAAATTTCTCATATCCTATGTAAACAATGTATACTATTATTTAAAAAGTTAACTGTTAACTCAAATTGTCAACTTACTGAACTCTTTCAGTGCTGAAATTTTTTCTTTTTAAGCTGTTAATTATGAAGTTGATTTAAAGTTGTCCTTAAAAATTTATTTATGGCTACTTGAAATTCTCTTTTAAACAACCCAGTTCTTAGTTGGATTAAAAAAAAGTTGGGAAGAAGGATCTTTGAAATGAGGAGAAAATAAAAAGCTCTTTATCAACCTAGCAATCCCACAGTCTTGTGGTTAACAAATTGCTGCAGTAGTAATATACCCTTCTTCACCTGTATTTCTGCAGTTGTATGGTTAGTAAGCTGCAGTATCAGCAATAAATCATACTGTTATACATTGTGTTTCCCAAATAAGCAGAATGACAACACAGCAAGCAAGCATTTTGTTAATGTCCTGCTTGTCTTTTTTACTTAGTCTTTTGCCAAATGGCATCATTCTCCTTAGAGTGATTATGCTCAATACTGTCCTGTCATTTTTATGATTTGTGACCCCCCCCTAAAAAAAGCATGTGTCCTTGAGAAAAAAGAAACATTTCATGTAAAGACTGCTACAAGTTTCATGTCTGTGGATAAGAAGAAACTGTAAAATGTAATATAGTCGCTTAAAAAATAGTTCCAACTTTTGGATATCCTCTCATAAATCAAAGGGTTTTCTTTTTAAATTTTTTAAAAATCTTTAGATCTTATTAATCATAGGAAACGATGTAAAATTATGATTAGTCCCTAAAAGATAACTGAGTTTATGTATTCTGTTATTTTCAGTAAAGATAAATTAATTAATTATTCAGTACTTTTCTGTTAAGAGGGCTCAGGTTACCAAATATTGTAACCTGTTTGTAAGTGTATCATGAAAAGCTGTGCAGTGTTCACAATGCAAGGCTATACTCATATTAAACATTGTATTAATTATATTATGATACAATACTGTTATTACAATTTTTTTTTCATGAAGCTTTATGTATCATTATGGTTGTCAACCTCTAGTTAGATTTCCTGCCAACATTTATGGTTGCCGCTAAGTGGTACCTGATTGATAGATAATTCATTATGCAGAGTCTGGAAATTTACAGCTCTGTATGATGGACATTCATTTGTAGAATGTATTATTATGGTCTGAACAGTGTTATCTGAAGGTGTAATGATTATAATAACAATTATTAATCTAAGAAATAAAAAGCTATACAACTAAAAATTTATTTTCAGGAAGTAATGGACGTTTACAGTTTTTGAGGCCACAAAGTGCACAAAGGGCTGCTTCTCTTCTTGGTTGTTCTGTAGAAGATCTTGCTAAAAGTATTTTTTCTCCTGATCACAGTGGTCCTGTTTCAGGAAAAGTGTCACCTAGGTTAGTTTTGTATTTTCTTACTCAATCTGAATGAATATCAGCTATCTTAATCAATTCTGTAATTGATTAAGATTGCTGATATTGGTATTATTTGGTTCATATTCTAAAGGCATTTAGAATATGAACCAAATAATTAATCTCATCCATGGTATGTTATGGAAAATAAAATTTCGTTGAAGATTTTGAATCTTATATTATCCTATTTTCTCTAATTCTGTAGAATGTTTAGGAGAAAAGTTGTTAAAATTATGATTAGGCTTGCTAGTAAATGTACTTTCTGTGGCTTGTGGCCTACCAGTGGCCGAGCAGTAAAGTTGCTGAATGCTGGTAGTTTGACCTGGGTTTAATTCCAAGCGAATGGGCTGGTTCATGGGTCTTATCATGGCTTTCATGTGTAATGCAAGTACAAACAAATTTCCGTTAGAAAGTCTGCCACAATGTTGTACGTTCTGTTAGGCAAATAACCCTTGTGTTTTGCCGTAATCAAATAAAACAAACTCTATAGTTTATCAAATGAGTTATTTCAGTGATACAGTCTCATACTTTTAAACCAAATGAAAGTGGTAATTAGGTGTATAAATTATCATAACAAAGCATTTACTTAAAATTTTCAAGTTTTACTAATAACTAAGCTTAATTTAGGCATTGTGCTATCTTCTGTTTGATTTAACATGGAGTATGTTGGCTTACATGAGAAGTCTGTTAAATTAAACCACATGCAAAATAATTTAAAAACTAACAAAGTTTAACTGCAACTCATGCCTTATTGCGGGAAGAAATGCCTTTCTATTAATTGCTAGCGTTGATCTCTTTGGAAAAAGCTGAAGGCCACATATACTCCAGTTGCCACTCAAGGTTGGGAAGTTTCCTTTTAGCTGAGAGAAAAACTAGATTTTTATTTGAGAAGATTTGATTTTGTTAGTTGTAAATTTTAAAGCAAATTGCCCAAGTTAGTGTCAATGATTAACCTCCCAGTTTATTAATTCTCACTTTAGTTATATACCTCTTCTAAAGTGAATAAATAAAATTTGTTAATTCTAAATCTGTCCTTGTGTAAGTTGATTATGTCAGAATGATACCTCATCAACATTCACGAAGTACCGTTTAGTGAACGGACTTGTTAGGTGAGCATATCTTGCTTAAGAACAGTTAAGTAGTAGAATTGCTGTTGTTATTACTTATTCTTTATTACTTAGGACTATGAATTCATCATGGTTAAAAGAAAGAGTCTATCTTTTGTTTTTAGCAAGACGGTATGCACCTTATAAATGCTAGTCGGACCTTTTAGATGATAATCAATTCAACTATGTCCCAGTTATGATAAAGATACTCTGTTGTAATTCATTCAATGTTCTCCCATATCTTTTCCTCTTCTACCAGTCTCTCTAGGGGAACTTTTACTTCAACAAGTGTCCTATGCTGCAAAGATACTGTACATTACAAACATCTGTGTTTATATCTGAGAGAGGTTTGCTCATCATCATAATTTAAGAGAAAAGTATAGAATTTCTGAAAAAATTCCTTTTCATCAAAACAGAATTTAGACTAAATGTTAAAAAAATGTCAGGACATAATTTTTTGTATTTTATTTCAAATTAACCTTATATGGAACTATAAAACTAGTATTATCTGAAGTAAATACTTAGAAGTACTTTTTTTAAGTACGTAATGTCAAATTATTAGGTTATGCTCTAGTATTATTGTAATAAATTGTAAAAATTGTAGTAGTGAAATGTGGAAAATTTTATGTACCTTATTTTTTTTAGACTTGAATAGTATGAAAGCTTGAAAGTATCACATTTAATAATTTAATTAGTAGTAATTAACTGTTTGGTGCCATATGAAATCTTTATTAACACAAATATATTTGTAATTATGTGCATGCACTTATTGTTTCATTTCTGTATAGAAAATTTATGCTTGTTGCTCCTTATCAGATGTGGTTAACTGCAATACAGGCAAAAGTATCACATTTAATAATCTGATGGATATCAGGAATTTCCAAGAAACTACTAACTTCATATTAAAAGCATATCCTTTATAGATGTAATTAGCTGTTTCTTTTGAAAGATCTAGAATTTTCTGAATTTCTGCAACTGCACAAAAATCGGTTCTTTGGATGATTTGACATTTGGTCTTTAGAACCAGTTCATTGAATGATTTTATGATAGTTTAGTGACATTTGAATCTTCAGTATGTGTTTATGAATCGTTAGCATGAGGCACTGCACTGACTTATTTTCAACTACTTCAGAATGCTCTTGATCAGAGTTTCTAATTTTTACATAATGTTATAGAACAAATAATGGAATATATATATGTATTTTTCTTTTTCTCTTCAGATTTACTATTGTCTGCTTGTACAATGCCTTATTTATAATGTAGCCATACAGTGTTTTAAAATTTAATGACATCAAGTTTTTAGAACTATTTAGCCTTTTATAAAAGAAATCATTCAGAAATCCTGAATAGAGCAGTATCAAAGACTTAATATATGTTCTACATTTGCATGACTATTTTATATTGTGACAGTAAACGTATTTTTTGTAGGTCATCTGATGGAACTGTTGAGGCTATTGAATGTCTACAAGCTATGGTTTCTGGTTTGTATGCTGAGGTTTTCAGTGCTCTTCTGTACTTGATAAACAGGTTAGTTTTTGTATAATGCATTTAAAATTGTTTTAATTAACAGCTTTCACGCGATATTTATATGTGTGCATATTTATAGGTAAAGATAATTTCTAATTGTTATGTATGCTTTTAGATTAATTTTTACCATTAGTCTTTAAAATTCTTTTAAAATTATTTAGTTAGAGTTTGCAACAAAGACAATGTTTCACTTATATAAAAATGAAGTAATTTGAATAAAAATTAATATAATTTAATTTTAAAAAAAGTTTAATTTAACTTTGCCTCCTTTCTGCAATTATATTATTAATAAAAATGTGACTGACAGCCATAATATATATTTTCTTTGGTGAAATAAATCAAATGATTTCAGGGCTTTAAGTGGTGGTGGCAGAAGCATGGCTTCTGTTCACCTGCTGGATTGTCCTGGATTTCAGAATCCTGCAACATGTGGACGTGTCATGGGAGCTGGTTTAGAAGATTTATGCCATAATTACTGTCAAGAAAAATTACAGTTACTTTTCCATGATACTACTTTCCTCACTCAGCAAGAACGATATCTTCAGGTGATGCAGTTATTTAATTTTATATATGTATTTTATATAAAAAAATTATTTATGTTATATTTACAGATTGTGCTTTAATTTATTTTTATCAAAGAATAATATTTTTTAATTAAACATATTATGTATGCCATAGTATATTATTGTTGGATATAAGGGGATGATAAGGGTCATGTACATGTAGTATAAAAATCCACAGATCTGGAAAATTTTTCATCATTATGAAATTTAGCATGAGTGATGATGAGACTATGACGAAGCTCTGATTAAAGTTGGACAACAATGTGACCATTTAACGAGCAAACTTACAGCCAGAACTGTCATATATTACAGTACAAAGTCTGAAATCTGGACCTCCAGAAGACCACTAATAACTTTTTTTTAGAAATTTTTTTGTATGCTCTATGTATGTGCATTTGATATTTTTTACTTCAGAAAACTTGTGGAGAGTCATAATTCTTAATTTTCTTTCAGTGGTAGTTAAAGTAGCTCCGCAGTGAAAAACAGTTTTTTTATTAGCATAAATCTGTATGATTGATAATTTGGCTGTCACCTTTCTGGATGGCATACGTCTCAAACCAAAATGTTCTACATTGAAACATTGTTGATTTTACACCTGCTTGATATTTTATTTCCATGATGACAACTGTGTACATTATTATTTATTATTATTTTTTCTCATCATGGCACTAGCATTAACACATAGCACCTAAAGAAATGACTCCACACACACATGTTGACATTACACTTGATGATGATTGCAGACTTCAGCTAACTGCTCTGCAAATTCTTGTGTGTTGATGAGGAGAAATTTTCCATATGCAATTCTTTCCATATGCAAAGGACAGGTTTTAAAATGATACTCAGAAGAGAAAAGATTTTATATTTAGTGTTGCTTGAATTGAGAACAACTGATTTGTTATTCAGATCAGCCTTGGACTAGTGCCAGAGCCAGTGCAGCAGAATTTAGGGGAGAGAAAATCTTTAGAATTGCTAATTAGAGTTAGAATAATTTTAGAATCAGACACAGGATGTTGTTAGTATAACACTGAACCATTAAATTATTGTGAAGGTAATCCTTATGTGGTAGATGTATGCCACTGTAAAAAAAAAAATGGAATAAATAGTATTGACTAGTCTCGTCAACCTAAACTTTCTGTAGACCATGTGAAACAAAGACTTCATTGCTGTTTATTAATGAATTTCAGTCTTTGCTGAAGTAAAAGTTCCAGTCTGACAAATTAGAAACTCTGTCACAATGATACCAGAGCAAACATTGCTGTCAGTCTATAGAAGTTAGGTCACTGAATGCACACCAAAGATGAAATATCTTTTGCCATTTTGAAATGGCACTTCATAACACTAAACAGTGGTTTTAAAGAATAGATTGCAAATTTGTTGCTGTACTTGTGGCAGCTCTTGTGGATCCTCGAGAACCTTTTATATGATCCCAAAACAAAACTTATTCTAGACCTGCTGTAGCCCTCATGATTGCTTAGCCCTTGAAGCTGTTCCAGCTTCTTTTGGAAAGATGCATTTTTTTAGTTCTTTATTTCTTCCCTTTTTTTGAGGGGGCTGGCTAAGGGAGAGTAAATATGGCTTCTCCTTTTTTTTTTTTTTTTTTTTTTTTTTAATTTCATTGTCAATTGCAGACAAAGTGCAAGTGAATATTCCATTATATCATTTCTTGGTAATCCTTTCCATCAGAAAATTTTCAAGATGATATTTGTTTCTCTCATATTAATTTTTAATTTGTTTCCCATCATGTGTTTACTGCATTTGCCAAGAAATAAAGCAGGTGCAATTTCCCTGCCCCCCAGGCATGTACTATTTTGCGGAAAAGTTATGAGTATTCCAATTTTTATGCAATGGAATTGTATGTGGCAGAAGATGTATAGTGGAAATGTAATGTCAACAATACTCAACAAAGTATTTGAATAAGAATTGGAAATTAACCGAGGGAAATTGTTTGCCTTTTTATATAACAGAGTGAAAATGGAGGCAGTGGGAAACTGCTAAAATAATAATATGAAATAATTTTAAATGTGATTACAAGACAGTACTCACTAGAAATTAAAAAAAAAAAAAGTGTTTTATCCATTTGCTGATTTTGAAAATATAATTAATTCATTGCCAAAAAAGGCGCAAGTAGATTTTAGTAATATTTAGTAATCAAATTATTAGATTTTAGTAATAGCAAGTAGATAATAATATGAAATAATTTTAAATGTGATTACAAGACAGTACTCACTAGAAATTTAAAAAAAAAAAAGTGTTTTATCCATTTGCTGATTTTGAAAATATAATTAATTCATTGCCAAAAAAGGCGCAAGTAGATTGTAGTAGCTGATCAATAGATACTGCTGATATCTACATGCATTATTATGAATCAAAATTGTTTGAAACTTTAAAATTCCTGGCATGGTTCCGCTACGTAGACGATACTTTTACCCTGTTTGAAGGCAATAAAGAAGATTTAAATAAAGTTCTTTCAACAATGAATTCTCTTGATCCTGCTATTCAGTTAACTTTTGAACTTGAGACTTGCAATTCTCTTCCGTTTCTTGACATTCTGGTCACACGTAACACATCCAACTTCAGTACTACGGTTTACCGTAAACCTTCATCGGTTTGCCTTCCACTACACTTTAAATCATGTCATCCGACTAAACAAAAGTTAGCTTCATTTTATTCCTATGTTTTCCGTGCTCTTCAAGTTTGCTCCTCCAAATTAGCCCTTGATGAAGAACTAAATTATTTAAAAGCAATAGCTATTGACAGGGGCTTTTCACCCAACATTATTAATCAAGCAGTTAAAAAATTCTCATCTCAACACACTAAAAGGCACACTCTTGTTTTAGGAGATTATAAGAATTCTGTTGTCATTCCCTTCTTTCCATCAATTAGCTACAAAGTTGCACATATTTTGCAGAAATTTAACTTTCAGGTTGTTTATTCTCCCATCAATAAAATTCCGAGTTCCATACTCAAGGACCCCATTCCGGATATGAATTCCTGGGGTATTTATAGGATTCCTTGCCAGTGTGGTTTAATTTACATTGGCCAAACTAAGAGAGCCTTAAAATTTCGCATCAAGGAACATGAGGCATACGTTAGAAAAAAGGAAACCCAGAAGTCTTCTGTTGCTCAACATTGTTGGTCCGAAAATTACACTTTCAATTTTTCTGCTGCCAAAATTATTCAAAAAACATCTTCCATTGGAGAACTGGATTTTCTAGAGGCATTTCACATTCGTAAAAACCTTTCTAGTTAACGATCCTAATTCCAATCCAAATTTGCCTTCGGCCTTTAAAGAAAGTATGTTTTAGTTTTGGTTTCACCAACAGATGGCGCCACTTGCTTATTCTTGTCCAGGCTTTCTTATCTTATCTAATCATTATTTCCTATCTTATTCATTTGCGGTTTTGCAGCTGAGGATGGTGGTTCGGTAAAACCATCGAAACTAGTCCTGTGAAAAATTTTGTAAATATAATGCTGATTTTTGTTGTTTGACTTCTGAATTGGTATTTATTCAGCGTGTTATTGTGTCTTAATTATAGAAGCCCCAAACAGGCTTATTTTTTGCTTTCTTTTTTTCCACGTTTTTCGCATCTTGCGAATGTGTGTGTTTCGGAGCCGCAAACGGCTTATTTTCGCTTCCTTATTTGCATGTGGTGTGGCCGCCATTTTGCGATTGCATGAGTTTCGGTAAGTACTTTTTTGCAATTTTCAAGTTATATTTATGTTTTGTATATTTGGATATTGTGCTTTGCTTGTCTGAATTCATGCATTTTGCTTACAAACGTTTTGTTTTCTATTCATATAATTTTCTATTCATTCAAAACGTTTTGTTTTCTATTCAGTTTTTTCTGATGTTTTGTGTGTGCTTTATTATTGCTTAGTTAATTTAGTTTGATTTTCTGCATTGTTTATCATGCCTTTATCCGTTAGTCGTTTCACTAAATTACGCCTGAAACGACGAAAATTCCTGAATCATCTTGACTTTTTACTTAAATGTAAATGTAAAAAATTGATCCCCAGTTTTATTCAAATCAAATCTAATCAAAAACCTTCGAGTCACGTTTCAAGAATTCTGTTAAATTGCAAGCTTGCCTTACTTCGGTCCGTCATAAGGGATACATGTCAACAATTGTCCAAAATTGAACATGAACTCTATAAGCTTCATTTGGAACTCGCTAAATCATATCCAAAATTCACTGCACTTGAACAAAAGTCTTGGTCTAGAACGGAGAATGTAGTTAACCGTCATAAAAACACCCTTGCAGTTAAATTCGAAAAACTTCTTTTACAGTCTTCCAGTTCAAGTAGTTCAAAAAATCTCCCCATTGTAAACATCAAGCCAATAGTTAATATTTCTAATGTTAGTCTTTCAGAAGAACAAGAGAGAATTCTAAAATATAATTTTAACTTCTCACAAACCTGTAAACCCTCGATTCCAAAGATTTTGGCTCCTATCGAAAAAGCTTTCAAGTTCAGTAAAGTTTCAGATTCACAGAAAGAAATGATTAGGTATCTTATCGCTCATAATGTGAAATTCAATAATAAACCTTTGAAACCAAATCTAACTGCGAGAGAAAGAGCTACAATGCGCAAAATTCATTCTAACCCGGATATTATCATTTCAAAGGCCGACAAAGGTGGCCAGATAGTCGTCATGGATAAGAACACTTACATTGATGGTGTCACTAAACTCTTAAACGAAGGACCGTATAATCCAATCCCTAAAGATCCTACACCTTCGGACTTGTCAAAAATAAAAACTGCGATCAAATCTTTGCAAATCATTTCAAGTAACTTAAAACATTCGCTTATCCCATCTGTTGCGAATTGTGCCAGATTATATGCTCTTCCCAAAATTCATAAAAGTGGTATTCCTTTCCGCCCTATTGTATCAAATTTAGGTATTGCCTCGTATCCATTAGCTAAATATTTAGTTTCTAGATTTTCAACTCTATTAGACAATAACATTTACACCATAAAAA